ATCAAAAGCAAAAGGGCAATAATGTTTTTGTTTGTTTGCCAGTGTGTTAGTAAAATATCTYACAGACCAGTTAGATTTCACTAARCCTCAAGAAAAATAATCACATCTACCAATCTGATTTACCATTGCTGCCTCAGCTAATCAGTATTAGCTTAGCCACAGACCAGTCAGTTCTATTGATAATTTGGAGTGATTGTGCAACAGATATTGTAAGATTTCACATCATTGCATGAAATTGAGCATAACTTTAAAAAGTTTGAYCAATCAGTGAAAATAACCTAAAATTATGGCATGAAATCTTTAATTTTCTTTTTATTTTGTGATCCATATGTTCTAAWTWCAATAAAGTTATTTTGTWTATTATASGTAATTTTTTCAARTGGAAMGWCTATTTTTTATTTGTGAAGAAAAAGCAGCATCACCCTCAGCTGCGTTTGGTTTGTTGTGTGGTTTAGCCAGACGYTTGTTTTCTGTTAGAGCTAGTTKYTTCCTCTAGTCTCACACCTTCAGAAACGCACCGGGTGCGTTCCTTTTCCAGTCAGGTGGACGACAACRCAGCTAAAGGTGAGGATGAGTGAGGAAGGGAGGTGTCTTCTTAAATCAGAGACGACCAGTCGGCGCGATCCACTCTGAGTGGAACATTTAGCTGCGCAAACTCCACCCACCCTGTCATCCGCTTCATCAGCCGGGCTGCAAATGAAGCACAGCCACAGAGAAGTGGTTCACCACAGCAGGCGTGGGTGCAGGTTTTTGTTGTTGTTTGATGTGATCGATGCCAGAACTCGTCCCCCTCTGCATGTCTCGTGTTGCTAACGATGTTAATCTTCGTCTAATCGTATATAAAAAGAGCTGTCTGAGAAGTGAAAGTGTGTGTGGGAAGTGCTTTATGTAAATGTGCAAGTGTGAAAGCGCTGGCACATTAATGCGTGACCCTGCCACCAGATACAGAAGAAAATTAATTCTGCAAACATTTTTTTAAAATGCATAAATCGCCCACAACTGAAAGGCAAACAGGTTAATTTTTTGCTCCTGTCTTTGTGTCTGTTAACAAAATAATTCACGAATCTGCGAACAAGTCTTAATGAAAAAGTCCAAACTTGTCCACTTTCATCACCAACTGTACAAATTTGAGGAGTTTATTTTGACCTCAGGGTGACCTGAGAGTGTTCCTGCAGCCACACACCTGTTCTCAATTCATTTATTTTAAAAAYGACAGCTAAAAGTGTCAACCTCCCAGACTTTTTATTACAAAGCTTCAAACAGTGACAGAAACATGACAAGGTGTCACTTTATTCCTCCAAGAGTTCGTCACATCCACAGCTAATAAAATTTACTGTAGATTTTTAAGGCTTGCTCCCACTGTTTGGTTGTTTGTTGTTCTGGTTGCCATGTTTGCACAGCTAGAACCTGACAGCAGCTTYAGCTTTTTTAGCCTCAGCTCCTTTTGCTCCTTGACACGCTCATCACCAACACCTCCTCAGGGTCAAATGAAAGAAATCAAACCTCCAAAAAGTACCTCGGCGTGCGGTTAGGAGGGTCTGAACACAAGACAAACTCAGCATTCAGTTAGCCTTCAGGTTACAAACTGTTATCGTGGCATCATCACAGAAGGTTCATTCTGTTATGATCATCTGATTCTCATCAGAGTTACAGCTGAAGCACAAGTACGGGTTTATTTATCTGTTAGGAATGAATCTCACTGGTTTAAGACAAAAAAAGAGCAAAAAAAAACATTCAGAATCTGAAGACACGCTYCCATGTGAAGACAAATGCAAACAAATTTGGACATTGCTTAATGCAAATGAGGGGAGATTATTTTTTGCAATTTAGCCACAAAGTAGTAAAAAGACAGCTTAAAATAGTAAAAAAGCAGCAATAACTCAGAAAGTATCGTTAAAAGCCTCAAAAATCTAAAAAAAGGCTAAAAGTAGAAAGAAGGTAGCTGAAAAAAAAAGGGCTAGATAAAAGCTAAAAGTAGTGCAAATTTAGCTAAAAGTTAAAATTATCAAAAGTTTAGGTAAAGAGTAAAAGTTGCAGAAATGCAGCTACGCTGCAAAAACTGTCCATCTTACCAAGTTTTAAAACCTTATATC